TTATCATTACAAAGAATCACTTATTTTAATACTATCTTGCTTTTGAAACAAGATACCTTCAGAATGTAAAGTAGAAACTATAGTTATTATTAAACTCCTACAATTTAAACGGATTCTATTTCAATATAATATTTCTCAAGATAATACGTCTCAAAGTGATACATCTTCAATATAATACATCTTCAATACAATGTATCTCAATATAATATTATATCTTTCTAAAACAGTTAGTCTAGTGTTTAACGTATACCAATACACAAGACATTTAATTTCGAATTTTTTTACAAATCTCACCATCCCAAATAACTTACCTCCGAAAGCTGAGGCCGGAAGGTAACAGGTGCCTGGAACCTATTATCCACCGGATGTACCGGTCGGAAATTCGGTGGTCTTATAAATCCGTAGTCGAGGTCCTCTTCCGGTGGAGCTTCAGTTGTAGTGGTCGTCGACGTTGTCGTTGTCGTCGTAGCGACTTGCTTGTGCTGCTGGACTGCGTGGATCTTGATGTACTCGTTTCCATCTGTCTGTACCTGAGATCCGTGGCTCTGATTGCGCGATCTGGATCTAGTCCTCTGTCGACCAGAGGATGTTCGAGCCGAATCTTGATTTACGACATTGAAGCGAACATATTCGTCCTGGGTACCTCTGGTCCGCGTCTGAACCGACGGCTCATGGTGCACGCGAGTGCTAACGCGTCCTCTGACTCGTTGACGTATTACAACGGGCGTTGTGCTGGTTGTTGTGATCTCTGTTGTGATCTGTGAATGGAAAGTCTCTTTCTGTATAATTTTATTTATTCATTCTTTTTAATCCGATTGAATGTAATTATATACTTTCCTATATAATTTTACGTATTCATTCTTTTTAATTGGATTGAATGTAATTGTATAATTTGTCATAAAAGAGTTTGGTAGCGTGATTTAGTTCTTACATTAAATAGTAGTTATTAAATAGTAAAAGCAAACAGAGATTTCTTTTAATTTAATAAAAAATTTTATTTATTTCTTCTTGTGTCATGATATTTAAGAATTTGCACTTTGAGTGATTGAAAATATTAATAGTTTACTGCTTATGAATTTGATGTAAGTAAATATATTATGGAACTACACCATTTTTATTATATATTCTATACTTATATATTTCCTTAATCTTTCTGAATATAGTCTTATACCAATAATAGTCTTACACCACTTCCGATATTTACGTATTATACGTATTACCTTTGTTTTTAAGAAATAGAATACTAATAATAATATTAATAATGTGTAACAATATTAAATAAATACAGATCCAAACTTAACTGAAATGACTAACCAGTGCGACCTTCAATTAGAAAACAAAGGTAGTCTGTATAATCATAAGTACCCTACTTTCATTATAAACGATCCAAATAGTAAAATATCTTTACTCACTTCAGGAGGCAGCTCTGTAGAAGAAACAGGCAGCGCATAGTCCTCCTGCTTGTTCTCGGGCAGCGGCACGAATATAGGTTGCTGGTTAGGATCACCACCAATGACACCTGTCTGAATCTTCTCGCTCTCCAACCGATGAAGATTATCCTGTCCAGTCAAACTGTATTCTGGTTGGGTCTGGGGTACGTTCACATCGTAGATCGAGGAATAACGTTGCTCATCCATCTTGTATCGCGGATCGGGCGTGGTGGCCAGCTCATAGTCGCTATTTTCCGCTTTACCGTCCAGCTGATAGTCTTTAGGTCTCTGAAGGATGCCTTGGTCCAGCGTTTCGCTATTTTGGGCCTGATAATTGAATCCGTTTACTGGTGTCTTTTCAAGGCCAGTGTGTTCGACGCCGGCTTGCTCGTAACCACCGCGATAATGTGATTGGTCTGGTACCGTTTGAGGGTAGTTCTGAGTCCTAGAGTAGTCCTCGGAGAGCAACGAAGAACCGTGGCTCGCTGTAGCGTCGCGCAGCGATGGGTAGTTCTCGGTAGTGCTGACTGCAGGCGAAGGGTAATTCTCCGGAGTGAAGTCGCTAAGGCCGGAGGACGAGTCCAGCTGATGGTGAACCGTTTCCGGACCCGTCGATTGGAGGAAACCGTTCCCCGTTGATGGAGAAGCCGCATCACTATTGGTTACGTCGTAGGTTTGCTGTGATTGGGGACTCTGGCTTTGACCGAGAATCTGGTAATGAAGCAATCGCGTGTTTTGAATTTTTTGATTTTGGAATATTTATTCAGTTGATGGTGTGTACAGTTAGTTATGAAAGTTATGGAAGTTAGTTGCAGGAGAATATGGTATTGTCTAAGTGAAGATTGTCTAAGGCTGTTGGGTCGCTTGTTGTGTAGTAATGTGAAAAGTTAAACTTTTTATATAAATAATAGCTTTTTTTAAATATTATATCATATTATATTACATGGAATAAAATTTTTGAATAAAGAAACAAGAAAACTATTGTGAATGGTTTTAATAATTATTAATATTACAGAATTATCTAAAAGATAAAATAGAAGAATAAAGAGTTAGTGGAAAATAATTAATTTTCATTGATTTTTGTTGTAAGTTCCTAACGTAAGATTAATGGATACGCGGAATTGAATAAATAACTTTCTTAAAAATTCAATGGTATTCAAGTTTTCTTGTTTTTACTATCTAAATTGTTAAGGGTTAATTAAGTGAATGATACATTAAATGTAACAAGGTACCTCAGATTGTTGATTGGTTTTTTCCCGATTCCTGTACTTTTGCGTCCTGCTACTAGGTCTCCTATACTCAGAATTATATCTCAGTGTCGTTTCTGGAATTCTCGATTTAGTCGGTTCGTAAGAATCTTGATACGTCTCCGTAGTTGTGCTGAATCTCGACCTGGATCTATTATACGGTCTTCGGTTTCTGTCAGTGCTCACTCTCGTGGACGAGGCTTGAGTGGTTGTCCTTGGCTTTGTGGAAGAGACTCTGCTCCTAAAGTAAACGAAACACTTCATTGTATATTATATGTATATTATTTCTTCAGTTTTATTCTACGTATTTTACAGGCACTCTATTTTACAAAATATTAACAAAAAAATGTCATAAGAGAAAAATTTATCGAATCCATAAACTTTAAATAGGAATCTGTTTTCTTGAACCGAGGTTTTCAATAAATCCTTTGTTCGGTACACTCTTAACTTTGCTGCGTCTACAGGTTTTATTTGACCCAATTGCGTTTTCTTTTCTTTAATTTAGTTTTTTGATCTAGTTCTGTTCTCACTTTCCCAAAAATGTTTTCGTATTTGAGAAACGTAGGTTTACCAACGTTTTCACTTACATACATATTTCTTTATCATATATAACTACATAATTTACTATAATTTCGTATTATATTTCTTTCGTCCTTGTTTATTAACTAGGTATCAATACTTTCATATTCTTGGAAGTTACCAATATTAAACAAAATATTTATTTAAAATCCGTTTGACGCAATTATAAAATAATTTATAATCAATAATTCGAATATATGGCAAACTAAAGATGTTGGATAGCGTATACGATAGCGTACTGATGATTAAACTTATTGTTTCAAAAGGATTAAAAAAATTAAACAGTTTAAAAAATATGATAAAGCACTGACCTTGGACGTCCACGTGGTCTATATGTCGTTGTAGGAGTGCGTTGTGTAGTGGTAGTGATAACAGTGGGACTAGGAGTCGTCGTGGTAGTACTAGACTGCAATTCAGCTTCATTCTTATCCAGCAATGAGTTCACCAATCCAGGTAGATGAGGAGAGATCGCTGGCAGTTCAGCTGGCAAACTATATTGGGTGGGACCAACAGGTCCTCCTCTAACATCATTGACATCACCAACAGGGATGTCACTCTCGAAATTGTTACTCAAACCAGTTACGGATCCATCCTGCCCATACTGTCCTCCAGTATTATATCTTTGGGCCTCTCTCTGTTGAGCCAGTTCCTGATTAATTAGCGCTAGTTGAGCAGCAAGCTCTTGCTCCTTGGTCGTAGGATCCTGAGGACCAACTGGTCTGTCCTTGAAACTCGGTGTGCTTGAGTAAGAAACTTCTTCCACCTGACTTATCGAAGTTTCCACTCTGGGTCTTTCAGTAGACCTTGGATTCTCATCGTAGTACTTCTGTTTTCTGGTAGTAGGCCTCTGATCCTCATAGTAAGCAGTGCTGATCACTGATGCCGGCTTGTTGTCGCCATAGTACTGTCTAAATCTGAATCTAGACCCGGAATATCCGGATGACGGAGTGGTCGAATAGCTCTGCTCGTACTTGGGGGTACTAGAAACATCCTGAGAATATCCGACGGTGGTCTGAGGCTCGTACAAAAGTGTCGTCAAATCTGAGCTTCCATCGAGTCCATCGCTGTATGAGTTAGGTTCAATCAACGGCGTTGGGCTAGGATTTCGGTCATCGCCGTCTTTACTGTTGTCCAGACTGTTATCCAAAGTGTTCACGACTACTGATCCAATGTGCGGCGCTGGGAAAGGGATTTTAGAGTATCCTGGTGGTGGATCAAAACTAAGGGGTGCAACGAAGAAAGGCAGCTTGTCTACTTTCCTCTCGACTCGGTTGTGATCAATAGATGAGAGATAAGGAAGATCAAATTTAGCATAACCAGATGGAGGATCCAAGTTGGTAGGACCCACAAACACCTGCGGAGTGTCAGGGCCAACGGTGTCCAACACAGCAATCGTCTTAGCGTCCTTCAGCAACTTCAATACGTCAGACACTTTAGCATTGTTAGTTCTCGAGTTCGAGTTCCCCATGTAGACAGATAAAGGTGGCTGATTAGGGGATGGAGCGGTAGTAGTGGTTTCTCTGTTATAATTTTGCTGCTCTTGGTACTGATTTCGTTGACGATGTCTTCCTCGAATCTTGCTTTTCGCAGGTTTAGGTGTCTCGGGGAGATGCTGACGATGGTATTCCTGTTGGTCCCTGATCAGCGGCAACGCTTGAGCTTCTTGTTGCTCAGCTAACCTTTGACTGGCTGCTCTAGCCTCTTCCTCTCGTTGCTTTTCTAGTAGTTGTTGTTGCTTCAGTGCTTCCTGGATCTCTAGCTCTTTCTGCCTTTCTAAGGCAGCCAGTCTCTCAGCTTCTCTCTGCCTGGCCGCTTCTTCGGCTCTGCGTTTTTCTTCTTTCGCACGTATCTCGGCTAATCTTCTTCGCTCCAGCTCCTCCATCCGTTGCTTCTCTCTGGCCTCGCGGATCCTCTCCAGCTCCCGTTGTTTCGCCATTTCCTCTAGCTTCTCTAGTTCTTTCTTCTTCTTTTCTGCATCTCGTTGCCTCTGTAATTCTTGCTCTCTTTGAAGTGCCTCCTGTTGCAGCCGAGCTTTACGATCCAATGCTCTTTGTTCCTCATTTAACCTGGCGATCTCCTTCATCCTTTCCTCGTTCAGGAATTGCGTTTTTTCTTCTCGTTCCATTTGTATCTGTTGCAGGATCTGACGGTTGAACGCGTCTTGGTTGTTTGCTATTGTACTTGGTTCTACACCTTGCTGTGGGTGCTGCTGATGATACGATTGTTGCTGCTGGTGGTGCTGCTGGTGCACCTGCTGCTGCTGGCGGCCAGGATATTGCTTTCTTCCGCGACCACGTTTCTGGCCTCGTTGAGACAACGTTTCCGCTGGAACGTAGATCAGTTGCACCTGGAAAAATGCAATTACGCAACCACTGAAACCGATGATGTATTGTCTGGCGGTTGTCGTATTGATTCTTTGTATTCTTGACTGTAAATGTAAATCTTTTTCCAATGTAAGATACATTATTTCACAGAGTTTATTTTTCATCATGTTCAACAACTAAGAACTTTTTTCTATTACATTTACAATAACTTATTGCAGGCGAATTTTAATTGCAAAAATACATATCTCAGAAACGATTAATTTAAACTACTATTACAAAATTTATTATTTATTATCTATATTACAATTAATTCACAATTAATAGTTCCTTATAATTATTTTTAAAATATCTCACACAAAGTCTTAGAGTCAATATTAAAAGTTAAACTTGTTCTTTACAAATCTGATTAAAATATCAAACTACAAGCGATATAAAATAGATTCCGAACTTTTTCCCTGAACATACTCGTTACAGGGTGAAATGTGCTGAAACTTTAATTGAATCGTAATCGAATATACCAACCTCTTCCTCCTCGTCCTGCCCATTCTGCGCGTGTCCCGCCAGGGACGCTTGACTCGGCTCCTTCAAGTGTTTCCCGCCGGGTCGTTGATTCTCTTGAATCTCCTCCACGTCTCCGACGTTTTGTTCTTGTTGCAGGCCATGGTTGTTCCGGAAACCCTGACCAGACAGGTTCGCGAATTCCTGCGGAACGTTCGCGTTGTCGTGTTTCGCCGGTGGATGAGCTCGCGGCCGCTGAGCCGGAAGGAAGCTCTGTGCCGGGAACACGGGAGGCAACGCTTCCGTGGCCGGCAACGGTGGCACTAGATCCTCCGGGGCTAAGTCCGTTTGCGAGTGTCCTAATCCACTTTGCGACAACCGTTTCTCTTCATCGGCGTTGCTGAATCCGCTCGGCAAGAACGTTTGCGACTGAGGAAACGAAAATTGCTGTAAGATTCGGAGCAAAGATAAATTAGTTGAAATGTTAAAATATATTTTGAAACTTTGATGGGGGACCTATATTCTGAATGCTTAGTTGAATTTCTTTGAGGATGTTAATACGTTTGACTTTAGTGTAATCTTGGTAATCAATGGTCATTGTTTAGTTTTGACTAATTCTTGTCTATTGAAACTGTGCAAAGTATATTTTTATTTATAGAAAACTATTTGATTTATTGTTAGAAAGTTAATTTTTGAAATGATTGAGTAAATTGATTATTTAATTATAATGTTTATAATCATTACTGGAAATAACTACATAATAATATATAATAACTAAATACATAATAACTAAATGTTGTGTATATATATATATATACAACATTTCTTGGATTTTTTATTTTTTTGTTGGGACGAACTATATATGCGTGGCATGTGCAACAACCTTAGGGTAATTTTTACAACCTTGTTTACTGATCAGTATTCAAAATATTGAACACTATAAATAGTGTTGTATTCAAATAGTTAATACTATAAATATGTCAGTAGACAAATATTTAATACTATCAATATATCAGTAACCATTTGTAAATTATTATAATATTAAATGTTTTGTATGATACGTATATTTATGCGTAAAAGATAGAATTCGTTATACCTGGAGAAGTTGCTGCTGAGCCCTGAGTTGCTGTTGCAACAGCAGCAGTTTCTGTATACTCTCCTGTGTCTTTTGCAGCTGCAAAAGCTGGTCCTGATATTGTTGCTGAAGCGCCGGTGGCAAAGACAATTGCGGAACTTGCGGAAGGGGTGCTGTGCCGCTGGCCAGTAGCCCCGCATCAGGATTGTTCTGTTCCACCTGAGATTGCGTCGCCCTTGGATCCGGTAATGGGATCCATTCGCTGTTTGAGACCTGTCGCGACCATCGTTCGGCCTGGACTGCACCGAATTCGACCGACAGGACCAACCAGCAGATTGGTATTGTTAATAACAGACACTTCCGCACGATCTGAAGTCAAACAAGAAATTCGTAAAAGAAGGAAAATATAATAAGATTGGAGGAGAACAGTAGGATATGATTGATGACAGTATGTAATTAATAGATGGCAAATGTTTATGGAAGGCCACTTTCAAAAATAAATTTTTATCTCTTTATTTTTATTATTATTGCATAACGAATTTTTATTTATTTTTATTATTATTTCATAACGAATTTTTATTTATTCATTTTTATTATTGCATAATAAAATTTTATTTATTTATTCTTCTTATTAACTTCCTTTTTTGTATATGTCTTCAATGTATTGTATTTAGAGGGATACAAAAGTTGCAAGAAATTTTGTATGTATCTATGTATTATAAATAATATAAAATTTGTTTAGGACTTAATATTTATTTCTTATCTTATGCAATTTTATGCAGTGTGTTACGCAGTAACCGGTTTAACTAAGTTTCATACAGACTCATTGCTTTATTTGGAATGAAGTAACAGATAGAAACTTTCAGGGAAGAAGTTAAATATGGACTTGACTTCTACTTTTACAAATTAATGCGTGAAAATATGAGTAACATTTGTAGCATACGTAACTGCGTGAAACGCAATAAAATATAAACTTTTAATTAATGTTAAAGTGAACTCCATTTTCTTCTTTGTGTAGTGAAATCATTCATCGAGGTATTTAATTTCCGCTCTCATAAATCAACCCGTGAGAATGTGTGTTTGGGTAAACGTCTATTCGTTCCTTTCTTAGACGACGATTGAATACAAACAATCTCTGTAATTTTACAAATTTATTTACTTACGTATTATATTTATTATATTATATAACAAATCGTTATATCTTTAAAAACTCATTCAATTATAGTGTATAACAAAAACGAAATTACAAGATCTAAAAATTACTGACATGAATTACAAATTAATGCTTCCATATTGCATTAAAATTTCCGGCACTAATCGCATACAAAATTTACCATCAATTCACTTCTTTCTCGCAGAGAACGTCAAGCCTCATCGAAAAGCATTCAAACATTTTTTAATCCAATAATTAACTCGTTGTGGTCGAATGTCGCGGTAATGGCTACCTCAAACTTCGATGTCTAAAATCGAAAACTACAAATGAATAATTTAATTATTCCACCAACGCGAAACTGGCA